ATATATATATTTATTATGCTTAGTATTTGGCAATCTTTGCTGACGCTATTTTGGACGCTTTTCGGTCTACAAGGAGTCACAATTGTCCAGCTAAACGACGCAGACCACGCCTTCACTGAAAGCATCGGCACCCTGTTGTTTGCCTTTTACCTGTTATTTGCTGTTGTGGTGTTACTAAACGCTCTCATCGCTATGATGAGCAATACATATACACGAGTAGAAGTAAGTATTATGCATACGCACATTGGTTAAAGCCATTAGTGAAATTACACAGTGCTATTATTGGTGATTGTACAAGCGTTAATAGTGATTTATGGACTAAAAAATATATACTATATGCGCCAGAAGAGCTTTGTCAATCATGAAGGATATTTCTTCCCCGTAACACTTAATCGTGCTTGTTAAGGCCGCCTAATTGATAGCAAACTGTGTGAATGAATTTTTGTACAGGTTTGTTTGCTAAAAGAGGGGTTCCGGATTTTTTCCTATTATCGTATTTATGTAGGGGCGGATTTAGAGGAGGTGGCGGGCAGAAAGAAAAAGAAAAAAAAAAGATCGCCCAACAGGCCTCAGAGGTTATTTTCAGGCGTGTAGAACACAGAAATATCGCGAGGTCATGCCCCGGACCCCTAGGGTATTGTTATCTCGATCGGCCCCACTTTCGGCTCCATTCGGGCTCCCCCCCCCCACCCTTTTTATTTTTCCTTTTTATTTTTGGACGTCTCTGGATCTGCCCCTGTTATTTATTGGTTAATTATAACGTTAGTGAGAAGATCATTAATTTTGTAGTAGCACACAAGAAAGTGGTACAGTCAATTTTATACTAAAGAAAGAAAAGGAAAACAACAGCTCAAGCTAAAGACACTTAAACATTTTTAAAAATTAGATAAGGTTGACAAATATGTCCACATCAAGATCAGCAATCTATATGGAAAAAGCAATAATTGTGTATTCATCTGTTAAATAGGTTTTCTTCCTTTCTCTTGTATCGCTCTTCGAAGGATTCGACGGGAGTATATTATTGTTAATCTTGCTCAGAAAGGACCTAACCCAGACAGCTTACTACCTCCATTCATTATCCTGCCATTGGAAATAGACTAAACCGTAAACACTTTGCCTCAGAGGCAATACGTATCACCACTCTTCGCCATTTTTTCTTCCCTCAAGTAGTTCGAAGGAGATATTACCAGAACCTTCAACAAGACTTCACAATTTCATAAAAACAAAAATCCATTGTCCAAACATCCAGGCTGGGTTCTACCACGTGAGGCACGGTCCGACTTAACCGTCTCAGATCTGGCTGGGGCGGCTGTGTCTCTTCCCTCCATCAGATCGGATCTGCCAGCTCTGGTATGTGTCAATGTGGCAGACCACATACAATCGACCACATCATCTACCACTGCCCTGACTTCAGACCGCTCAAAGGCGAACAGGGACTCCAACACCTGGATGAAGATACCACCATGACATGTTTTTAGTGGCCATACTACCCACCTAACGTTGATTTCATATGAATAATACAAAAGAAGAAAAGTACTAGTGCTACTCCAATACGCTTTCCAAAATTGTTCAGCTCTCCATAAACTCTATTTATTTTCCCTGGACACTTGCTAACATTTCATCAATATAAATGTTGTTCTTGAAGGGCAGTTATTGGTTATCGCCCCGTTTGTCTACTACCGACTTTGTTGAGGATTTGAGTGACTTCTTCATGATGCCATGAACTCTAATTCAGCATATACTCATAGCATACCATACAATACATAATATTAAATTATGAAGCAGTGTGAGGTGGGACCATTGGGTCCAACGTACCCTTTAAGTAAGAAGGCCTGTTTTGAAGCAACATATTATAATTATATAAAATGCTTCTTCGCACTTGTGACATTGTTACGCTATTATAGTTAATAACATGATGTTCTTCACAGTGGTAACACATGCGTATATGCAAGGGTCGAATGTAAAGTTTAATCCACTAAAGTGTCGAGTAAAGTACATGTGGTCTTCCATTTGTTTCAACTTACAGTTTGAGGGCCAAGGCAATAATCGGATTTCAAAAAGTACATTTGTTCGATTATGAATTCGCCCCGCGGTACGGTCCAGTTACTTCAGTGCACATAGGCCTATGCACACAATAACTATACGCCTACATAGGCCTATATATTGCGCAATAAAATACATATGTATTTACTATATTCTGCAGAGCTTCATCGTATATTTGTACTTTACGTGCTAAAGTTTTTTTAGGATTTGAAGTTTTAGCTGAACTCACGTAATATATATAGCCCTATAGGACTTATAAAACTCCCTGAATTTTCCAAAACTGCAGTGTTAAAATGATAAATAACAGCGTTTAACGTAAACAAATGGGTTAAAATATTAAATTAAGTGTAGGCTTACTCTTTCAGACCCAAACAACTCCTGATTTATATTCTAGTTCATCAGTACGCTAACACAAACGCAAGATGAACGATCCTTCTGATGTTGTTATCTGGCTTTAGTCAAGTTATTGTTATTATCAAGTTACATAAAGGAAAAAACAAAGTCCAACTAACGTATTAAAAAAAAAAAAACTGCACCAAACTTTAACGTTATTATAACGTAAAATAGGAGCAAGCAACTGGCACACTGGTTGTAGTTTAGGTCCCCCAACCTTTGGGTCACTGTCGAATCCAAAACGTATGTCCATTTCGCTTGTGTTAATCTTAAGCCGGGGGGCACTCACTGCGATCCACTTATAATCTTAGCACTGACCCTGTTGCTGTCAATGTTTTGCTATATTAATTTAGTTGCTTTATTTACAAACTGAAGCATTTGTATTCGATTGTTTCACAACAATCTCACAATAATACATTTTTTTTCAAATTAAAAGAACTCTTTAAAAAATTGGAAGTAAAATAACCGATGAATCTGACTAAATGAGTACCTTGAAGGCAACGACTGTTAATGCAGTGTAATGTACTTTCAGGAATGGTGCTCCACCAATTGATTGCTTGGAGAAAATGAAAAGTTGCATTAACCATTAAAACGTATGTCCATTTCGCTTGTGTTAATCTTAAGCCGGGGGGCACTCACTGCGATCCACTTATAATCTTAGCACTGACCCTGTTGCTGTCAATGTTTTGCTATATTAATTTAGTTGCTTTATTTACAAACTGAAGCATTTGTATTCGATTGTTTCACAACAATCTCACAATAATACATTTTTTTTCAAATTAAAAGAACTCTTTAAAAAATTGGAAGTAAAATAACCGATGAATCTGACTAAATGAGTACCTTGAAGGCAACGACTGTTAATGCAGTGTAATGTACTTTCAGGAATGGTGCTCCACCAATTGATTGCTTGGAGAAAATGAAAAGTTGCATTAATCATTGTAACCTCCATCAATCAGTAGGTACATACCATTAAAGTACATAAACTAAATTAAAGTGTCTGTTACCCAGAAATATAAATGAGTACCTGTTAGGTTTCGCTGATATTAGTTCAAATAGGCGCCCTATTGCTGTATGACCCCACCCCTAGAAAGCTGGGTGTTACATAGATGTTCCATCCAATGACCGGTGTTTTGATGTGACGCGATGTTTGCATGATCCGCTACCGTATACGACAAACATATAATAATATATATATACATATATATATATATATATATATATATATATATATATATATATATATANNATATTACTGCTTGCGGTACACAACGTAGATACTGTAGCTCTGAAAAGAACTGTTGTCCGCAGAGAATATCGCAACATTTCGATTGAGTTGCTTCAATTGGCTTCAGTAGAATAATATCTGCAGGAATTCCAAAACAGTAAAATACTTATATGTTTTGGGTAGAGAGACTTTCTGGTGATGGGTTGAAAGCTAAGCAATAGCAGAATCTACATGTGAAAAGGCTAATACAAACGCCAAAAATGATAATAATGACATAATAATTATTGTAATACCAAATGAAATTTAACGCGCACATTTCTATCGACCTTTATGCTCGAGGCATGCCGTATTGTCCAATGTATTGCTGAACTTAATGAGCGGATGCGTTTCGCACATAATGGATTCTGATGACAGATTCAATAAACAATGACGCCTTCTGATGCATTTCTTGTCATGTTAATATGTGCAGACATTACTAAGTGTCTACATCGTTAGCTGATCTAGTGTGATAATATTACTAGATTAGTTTATACTGTTTTCTTTACAATATAACGTTCACTTGCTAATTCGACCAGTCAATTTACTAGAATTCTTATTTGATTTTAGTGTTGCTTTTAAATGTTGCATCTATATTATATACTATAGGAAAATTCAGATACAGAATGGAAGTTTGCTCGCGCGAAAATGTGGGGAAGGTTTCTACAGTTGAGGGATACAGTTCCACCGCCATTCAACGTGATACCATCCGTGAAATGGATGCGAGTGTTCTGGCATAACCTTAGATTCGAGTGGTGCATCACCCGTGCCGCTTACCGAAGGCGTAATCAGGTAGGAAAGATATACGAAGTAATTATATCGAGGCGATTATACAACTCGTATTAGTTTTATTGTAATTTTAACGTAGGACAATATAATGACGTCAAACCGCTAGGACTTGAGTAGATTATTAATGGAAAACTATTTAAATGAGGGAACGGCGACGTTGTTTTGATGCTGAAATTGATTCTATGAAGCTAATTAGAAGAAGCCAATGCATGTTCTTCGTATGTAAGCTGCTCGTCTAACACCATGCATTATTTCTAATAATTATTGTCATTCTTATGTCATTTGACCGTCTCCTTTGAGTAGCTGAATCTGGAAATGTTAAAACTGATTAAAATTAGTGTAACAATAATTACATCTAATTCCTACTAGAAACTGTGGCGATTTTGTTTTGATGTGGCAGTGTGCCAGTAAAGTTAATAAAATAAGCTCTTTCATTATATCATAAGCGGCTTCAAGTCTACCACATGCTATCGTTTTATTGTAACCTTGATTAAAGTTGTGTAAAACGTGAAGATAATATTTGAATCAAGAACAACTGCCTTCAATTTCAATTAGGCCTAAGTATAATTTTTATATAAAATATAATTTTATTGTAAGAGATTAAGTATAGTTATTTGGGATGGACATAATAATTAATTATAATGAGCAGTTTATAGTAATTCTAGTAATGATTTACGTAACTCCAATAGAAAGTATCAAGTCTTCTCTGAATAACTTAAGCCAAACCCAGATTTGAAGATTGAAAAGTTTAATAAAAAAATGTTGCAGTCATTAACTGTGAATTCTCGATTGACTGTGCCGTAATGCGTAACACTACCTTAAAAATAGTGCTCCGTAACGATTAATACAATTGCCTTATGCAAGGTCGAGCCAGTACATTCAAAGTGTCGAATGCATGTTTGTAGAAATAATTAGCGTACATGAACATCCACACCCGTCGCCAATTCAGGAATGCCAATTACACTTAACAACTGACCAATAATGTAAGGGACATGAACATTCGGATGTCCCGCGGTAATGCATGCCAACGTACATCCAAATGGATGTAACTCAGTGGACGCCCAGACAAATAGAAAAAATGGCAAAATTCTAAAAAACATAACAAATTGGCTCTGTACGTACTACACTATTAGCGTCACCGAGAAAATAAATATAATTGGCTTGTGGAAATTGAACTACCATAACCATTTTTTTTTTAATTTTTATTTTCGTCAACAACATTTTTCACAGATTTGGCGGATAAATATAATAATTATTAATTTATGATTTTGATCTGAATTATATTAAGGCAAGTGTTTTCTATAACTGCCAAAACGTCCATGTTTGTTTTGGTCACTTGGAAAAAAATTCTCCAAATTAATGCACTCTGTTTTTCATTACCCTCTCACCGAAGTGTATTTAATCTTTTGTAAATCAGCAGAATGATACTTTTTATTCAATATTTACCACAGAGGCTCCTCACAAAGTATGGAAATTATGCTCAACATAAATGTTATCAACTATACGTACCAGTCAAATTTAGTTGTTTTTTCTTTTTGGTCTTCTTTGTTTGTTTTTTTTTAATTCTCACTGTTACAAGTTTTTTGAGAAAAATATTGGTTGAATAAATATTGTTGCAAATGTGACTTTACAACACCTCTCTTCCCCCACTGGCACACTCTTTCACTCCGCCTTTCATACCTCTATATTGACATCCGCTGAGTCATAGTTGGATCATTAGAATATTATTTGTTTACGTGCTTTTATTTTCAGAGTAAACACAGGGACGTTCAAAGTGCCGAGCAACAGTACCTTGTAAGTATGCATATGTAGGCCTAATATTACTATTAATACTCCTATTATTGCTGCTGATACTACTGCTACTGCTGCTGCTACTGTTACTGCTGCTACTGCTGCTGCTGCTGCTAACTGCTGCTGACGCTACTACTACTACTACTGCTAATGCTGCTATTTCTGTTGCTACTACAACTACTCCTACGAATGATGCTACTACAATACTTAGTGGAATTAAATGTATGGGAATGAGCAAGTTGTTAAACTAAATAAAGAAATAGCTTACACTAATCCTTACTAAAAAATATTACATATTATTATTATACTGTACTATAATTATTATCAATAATAATTATCAATTATACTTTCCTGACACCTGAAACCATACAATATTATGAAACCGATGTAAAATAATCTCCAATGATTTTACTATTGATGTTAAGCTAAATTGTCAGATATTCATTTGGACCTACTAACATTATGTCATTCTGCCTTTGTTCAGTTTAATGATAAGTGTCGTCAAATATTATACTCGTATATCATCACACTCTATCTGCATGTCAAAATATTTTACTTTTTGATATTGCAATCAATGAATGAGTGATAATTGACGTAATGTCCCTTTAGGGAATATATTGATACAACACGTCTAACAACCGTAAAGGTCCCCAGTTCAAAAGAATAGTGATTAATTGTGGCATATGCCTTAGTAGTGATTAAGAAACCCTCCTCATAGTCATAGTGTTCTTGCCTCATTTCTAACATTGTATCAGATTTGCTTCCTGAAAGGAGCAACGCCAATCCTTATTAGGCTTAGCCTATAGAACATAAACAAAACATTCCAAAATGATCAGGTTAGGACACCGGCCTAGCTTAGCATTAGGCAGAGAACAGTTGCTTTAAGGTTATCGAGCACGTGTGCCATTAAGCAAGGTAAAGGCAGATGCTATTTCTCTCCTCGGATAATATCTGGATAGGTTTGTTTGAATGCGAACACTTACAATTATGGGATAACCCCTCAAGGTTTCATAGCCAGTGGCGTGTTCCCTAGGTATTTTTCGAGTTAGAGGCGTAAGCGTAAATGCATAACACTTGGATTTATTAGACGAAGCCTTTATTTTACGATAATCTTTGGACCTGATGATAATTATTTTATTAATTATTATTATTATTATTATTACTATTATTATTATTATTATCGTCATCATCATCATCATTATCAGTTTGGTTAATTTCCCTTTACCATTAGTTGATTATTAAGCAACTCGTTACCAGATACATTACAGAAAAAACGACCACTACTGGTGATACGGAGGCAGGTGTAAGCAGGGCAGATGTCATAAACATAAAGAATGATCTAGCTGTTTTCAGGTAATTTTCTTCTTATAGGTTGAAAAACAATTTCTTTTTTGACGTATTTGCTATTATAATAAATTAAAACAGAATAATTCAGACTTAGCGTCGGAGTAATGGAAGTTTAAGAAGATTTTTTTATTTGATGGTGATTCACTCATCAGTTTTAACGACGAAACTCACCTATCCCAGATTGTAACATGATGATTTTACTAGGATCTTGCTATGCACAGACTTTGCCTATAGAGAAATATATTTTGTAAACGTTTTAAAGGATTGGAGAATCAGGTCCAACTTCAGCCGAAAATTCGCCATATCAGCCTACATATGCATAGATCTTGCATAGAACCAGTATCCTACAAAGGTACTTACATTCCATTGAAAAACAGAATCAAGGGGAATGGATATACAAAAAATATATCCACATTTTTATTTAGACGAACCAGCTAAATAAAAGCACGTTGTCAGATACTGCTTTAACCATACGGCAAACAAGAATGTCTATTATCCTATCACCGATACTCAGCAATAATAATCTTTTTTTGAGAGAGAGAGAGAGTAACGTATGCAATAAAATCCGATATCTTTCCTGCAATAAAAAAAAAATCACGAGCGCAATGATTTACATTAGCAATTCCTCTATTTAATTTGTAATTTTGGGTATAATCATTTGAGACTATAAATAATCGATTGTGGTATTTCTGGACTAAATATGTACTTTATTCTTATCTCCTTCAGGGGCAATTATTCAATTGTTGATAGCCTGTAGACAAGGACTACAGGAAATGTAATATGCTGCTGCTGATATATTAAATGTGCATCCATCGAGATGTTCAATGTTTCTAGAAAAACAAACAATAAAGTATACGGTTAAACACAGTTTTGAAATTCCATTGTTGATTTTGCCTAATTTATATATTTCGGAAAGTTATTGCCTTGTTTTTTTTTCGTCAATTAATGGAAGTTAAATAATACATGTTATGTATTCTTTTGCATAGTCCCTTAAATTGGCTTGTAATCAATTTATATAATTTTTGTAGTAGATTTTTCTCAATTTATTTATATATCATACAAGATGCTTATGACATATATTAAATGACATATATATTTAAATTATTAATTAAAAACAATCGCCTTAATTCCGAACCTGGTTACCAGGAGTGATTTCCATAAGAATGTATTATATATTTTAATCATCCAAGAAAGGTACAATATTTATATATATATATACATATAGATATATATATATCATTTCAATCTACATTGAATTTAAATAAAAAATGCTCAGCTCAGTGCCTGTCTCTTATACCTTGTGTGCTATATATATTATTATTATTATTATTATTGTTATTATTTGTATTCATCAGTATTATGTATCATTTTATTTCTTCAGGTACGAAACATTTAAGATGTTGACAAACCAAGAAAAGGCGTTCGTGTCGCTTAACACACGATACAATGAAATTCGAGAACAGTTGCAGAAAGTGGATGATGTGTATAATAAAACTACAGATCTAGATACAAACGTACAAGAACTTCGAGACCGCACGCTAGAAATCCGTGAGACAGTCGACGACATGACAATGTCTTTATTACCTGGTTCATCGAGAAGAAGTACCAGTAATCTGTAATATAAACATTTGTTTAGTGATAAAAGAGAAAGGTAATGGATGTATGTCGATCAATGAAACAACATTTAATTCAAATTTAGTTATCTATACAGTAATCAGATAGGATTTATGTAAGTGATATTAATTTCATGAGAACTACCCAAGGCTCTTTTTCATAACCATTTGATACAGAGAGCCAGTCGTGCACAGTGTTCAAACTGCTCCTGCCAGTACCACATAACCTGGTTTATGTGTCTATTGCATGTGTAGACATTTAGTTATCGTGTCACTCGTAAGGCGTAAGAGTAAATCCGGCTTGACAGTTCAAAGTTCAGAAAACGTAAGTCTAGGCTAGACATGTCAGCAATCTTTTCTTGACCTGTTTTTCATTTCAATTGCCAACTTAAAAAGCGTGGATGGATGAGCTATTTTTTTCCACAATTGAATGTACAGATATTCCTCCAATTTCAAATGTGAATGTTTTCTATTTGTGTGAAAAAACAAACAAACAAACAAACAAACAAACAGGTATGCGTAGGCAGAATAATACTTACAAAGAGCATATTTGTTGCTATATTAAAGTTGCTACACTGTCGCTACCAAAGCATTACCGTTACACCACAATGCAAGAACAATCTGATATCCTACAAGCTTGGTCTACGGATTTAAAATATTTTTAAAAATGGAGCAAAATGAAAATTATATTCAAATTCTAAGAGTGGAAATGGTTGGCTTATCGGTTGTGGTTTGGACTCCCAACCTCGAGGTCGGGGGTTCAAAACTCTCGCTGTGCAAGTCGCTTGTGTCCTTGGGCAAGGATATATTCCCCCAATATTCGACAAGGGGGGGATGGTCCATTGTATCATCCCCCCCCCTCCAATATTTGATGAAAATTAGCATAATTTATTAATGTTGATAACAAAATTATTCTATCTGGTAGCAATCTAAGCTCTTCTTTCCTTAGATGTTAGATGTGCTTGCAAATAAAGCCACATTTTACACTCAAGGTTGTGTACGACATCAGTAATGTTATGTCAATTCCAAGAATGTTTAAGCATATATAGGTTGATGAGGAATTTATTGATTAGGCCTATAATAGCAAAAATTGCATCAATTTATTTTGCAAAAACAAGAATTCCAGCTTCAGAGGGGGGCACATCCCCTGTCCGCACAAGGGCACACATTGGCGCCAACACCAGGCGTGTAACAGGGGTCTTGGTTGGGTCAGAGTGGGTACGGTAGTTGTTTTCCCGGTTAGTAATTTACCATACCTACCCCACCCCACTCCCCATATAGAAAACAATATGACATACGGTAGGGCTTATCATATTTATAATATAGGCCACACACGTGTGTTTGAAACTAAATACAGTATATGCATTTTCATCATGGTTTTATTTATTACAAACATATTCTTTCACCATCAATACATATTATTGAGGCCCTTCTTTTAGGTTAAAACGATCTTAAATTTGTCTTTCTTGAGTTTGGGACTATTATTAAGCCTATGTGTTTAAATAACTTAAAAGGATAATCCTAAAAAAGCCCTAAAAAATGCGCGCAAAATACTTTTGTGTTTTTAATTCTAATTTCGTCGGAATTGATGAAACTACCTAAAATGTGCAATTTATAGAGGAAATTGGCCTACCGTAACAAGAAATACGAGCAAAGAATTTGAGAAATTTAGGCACTTTCAGAGGATGCATTTGTCAAGGGGTGG